TTACGTCTAAGTATAAGGTGCAACATATAGGAAAGAAGAGTGTGAGCTTCATTTTAAAACAGGGACAGCAATCCTGGACAGTAATGAGTCTGAAACACATTTAGAGGCTGCAATATGTGCCATCTGAACACAAAACCTGCTGAATGGGAAGGCATCGCTGCCAAGGCCGTCCTCCTCCTGGACTGCGTAAATAATCAAGTAATGTCAAACATGAATCTAAGGTTCCTGAGGCATTTGTGTAGATTTCACAGCCACGCAGCTAAGAATAACTCTTACACAATCATAGCGCAACCACATTTTAAATGTTGTGTGCAGTTCTTGTCCCTTCATCTCAAAGAGATGCACTAGAATCAGTAAAGGGACAGGGAAAGCCTGTGCTTATGATTCAGGGTTGGGTGACAGCTTCCATACAGGGAATGACACAGCTGAATAGAATTCCAGCCTGAGTACAGAGAGAAATTACAGGGATCTATATAGTTTTGAATAATGTGATGAAGAGGAACAGACCATAGTTGCCCACATATTCTTAGAATACAAGAGTTAAAGGGCATCAAATGAAACAAGAAGGTGACAACGTAAAGACAAATAAAAGGAGGTGATCAACACAATCTGCAATTAAGTTATCCTTGCCACAAGGATATCAGAATGCTCAAACATACATGGGTCCAAAAAGTGACTGGTCAAATTTATGGAAGAAAAAAAAATATCTGTATGACTGCTAAATACAAAGATGCCCTTTTGACTCAAAAGTGCCTGAAATGCAATTTACAGAGCTCAGGGGTGGGGATGGGCTTTTTTCTTCTCCCCAGTAACAAGCGATGGGACGAGAGGGAACGGCCTCAAGCTGCGCCAGGGGAGGTTTAGGTTGGACGTTAGGAAAAACTTCTTCCCCGAAAGGGCTGTCAGGCCCTGGCCCAGGCTGCCCAGGGCAGGGGCTGAGTCCCCATCCCTGGAGGGGTTGAAAAGAAGGGTAGATGTGGTGCTCAAGGACATGGTTTAGTGGTGGCCTTGGCAGCGCTGGGTTAACGGTTGGACGCGATGATCTTAAGGGTCTTTTCCAACCTTAATTATTCTATGATTCTATGATTCTATACTTGCTTTGTCCTTGTACCCTTCTATACATACCATTATGGCTTACTAGTCCACCCGTTATGGCATGTCATGCTCTTTACTGAGGAACAGGAAAGGTCAAGTAAGAGTCAAGCAGATATTCGAGGCTGGGAACCCTACAGGATGATACTGATGGAGTTGATCTTTCAGTTAAAAGAAGGGGATACTAGGAATAGGCAATGCTTTGACTGCACAGAGAGGGTCAGGGTAAGACCCGGTGGCTGCAGCTAGGATGGAAACTTCTGTCTAGAAATGGGATGCATTTTTCTTTCCCTGAGCACATCGCTCCCACTTGGACAGCCGCACTGAGAACGTGGCAGTGGACTCACATTACTTCAGCCAGTCACGAGGGTGTCTCTTCCTGACTGCTCTGCCCAAAAACCCAGGTGGATGCTGAAGGAGAAACAACAGCACATGCCCAAGAGACATTCCTGGTGAACCTGGGACACAGTAGCAATCAGCAGCTGCCTGTGCCTGTGGCAGTTGGCAAAAACACATCAGAACCACATACCCCTGTGCTAATAATGTCACATGCTTGCCATCCTCTGTTGAGATCATAGCCCTCACGCTCAGGACAGCTAAATCTCCCTGGCATAACTCCTGTCCCAGCAAATACATTCACTGCTGCATTAGAAATTTCCCCTTTAGAAACCTGAGAAAAAGTAGCACATCTTGTTATATTGCCAAAATGTGCGCTGGGACATCAAACCTTCTTAATTCTGTTCTTGTAAATGTTTTTTTTTAAAAATCAATTGCTAATCAGTTAGCATAACTGAGTTAAACGCAGAGCATTTGTTCTCAGCCTGCACTTAGCTTGAACTTTTCTGATAGTTTCAGTTCTGAAAAAGGGCTTGAGTGCCCAAAAGCTTTTCTGGTGTGGTGGGTTTTTTTGCTGGTTTGGTTTGGTTTTTCCCTCCAGTTAAATCAGTCATTCTGTAAAAGGTACTCCCCTTTTCCTACTAGCCTCGCATTGCTTGAAAATGGTTACTCAGTGGTATTCTTACACACGGTGACATCATGCCTTTTAATTTCAGTGGGAACACAGATGAAATCTAGTCTATGAAGACTTGTGCCCAGGGACGGCTTGCCCCTCTCAGCCACCTGCCTGACCTCAGCCCTCCCGCTTATGCTGGGATCCCCTGCCTGCAAACCTGCTAGCTCTGAAAGGAATGCTGGGATTTCGCCTGCAGCCCCAGCACGGGTCCCTCATTACAGCAGGTGCCTGTCTACGCCAAGACGCCTCTGTCCAAAGAGGAACCGCAGTGCCAGGAGCTGGCCTGCCCATGTATGCAGTGGCCCTGCATGCTCCTGTGTTTGCAGAAACGGACACTGCAGGTTCGCCTCTTTCAGCCTGAGCTGCCCTCACCACCCAAATGCAGAGCAGACTTCAGAACCAACAAACGTAATCAGCGAGACTCGAGGCGCGGCTTTAAGTCTTAGAGCTGCAAGAAACAATTACAAAATAAAGCAAACCATTAAATTCAATCCTTCCCTGTCCTTAAGGTGATATTATCTTAGTGGCTGAGTACACATTACTGAACATACATTATTGCAGATATATGGACAGTGCCAGAAAGAAGAAGGACCAGTAAACGAGCCCCACGTACTGCTCTGCAGACTGCCTTCATACCGAAGATATCCATTCAGGCTAAGCAATTCCAGACTGTGCTGCCACCAAAAGGGACAGACCCTCCTTTTTCAGCTCCTCCTCCCAGTCACAGACATGATCTGGCTAAAAATGAACACTATAAAGTGGTGATTAGAACTGGGGAATAAGACTATGGGACCTGCTCCCATAAACAGATCACCCTGAACAGACCTGCGAGCGCAGCCAGCAGAAGATGGTGACTTCAGGCTGGGCTCCTGCGCTGGTCCAAGGGAAATGCACTGCTGATGCCTGGTAAGAGTGGGGGCCATTATCCAGGTATTTTAAAAGCTTTGACTCTCCTGCTCCCTTCATCCTTGTTCTGCAGATAGTTTTGGTACATCACCTGGAGCCAACACCTCACCTCTCTGCCCATGGATGTTATAAAGCGCATCATTGTTAAACCTTTTTGAGTTGTACCATCTCTACGCTGCTATAGTAGTACTGGCACACACAGGCTGCCACAACTGGTTTCCAACACCTTTTGTAAGCCTGTAACACGTGAACGCATTCCTGTTGTATCCCGTTAGCATTCATGCTGTGATGCATCACTGGTGTGAGTGTATTAGGAACGGCACGCTGAACCTCACATAGTTCTTTCAAGCTTGCTGCTTCAGAGCAGCATGGTCTAGTTGTGTAAGGCGGTGATGATTAGAGGAGCAGAGCTACACCCTGTGTCCCGACAGAGGCAGAAAAAGACAGAAGCATTGGGTCTGCTTAGCCTTCAGATCTGTGTGCTCCAGTGTCCTGGTGCTGATGTGGACGTTAACAGAGGCCTTGAAAGACCAGTGCACCAAGAGGAGCAAAAACTGCGGCGCTGCCCTAGCGTGCCTTCTGCCAGCCAGCAGCACTTCCAGCACTCCTTGAGTCAGAA